TATATATATATATATATATATAATTTAAATTCTCTTATATATTTAAATATAAAACTAAGTATTGTGAAAAATAGTTAATAAATAAAAAAATTATGTCTAAATTGGCTGGTGAAAAGGATTTATAGAATAAATCCCACATGGTTCAAAAAAAGTCACTTTTACATGAATGTAATAATTCTTTAAGAATGATTAATCAAAACTCAATTTTGAAGTGCTCTTCAATCTTGTGAATATGGTTTATAAATCAAATAAAAAATAAATCTAAAAAAATTATTTGAATATCATTAGATCAATTTTCATAAGTAAAAATTTAGCTAAATAAAAATGCTAAAAATCAATGCATAGAGCATACTGAAAGTCAACTCTAAAAAATAAAAAATAAAAAATCAATGAAGACATAATAAACATACAAGACTTATTGGATCCCAAAATCATGCCACAACTAATGTACCCATGTATTATAGAAGTAGTTGTTACAATTTCCTTGATGGCTCCATGAAATCTCCAATCAAATTTTTTGTATTCGTTCACAACCTTTATTTTTTAACTTTACACACTATGCATAGACTCATAGAGGTCCTCATTAAATTATTTACTAGCTTATGATGGATAATTTCATAAACACTAAGATAGAAAGTGCTTATGAGTAAATTAGTCATTCACATCATTTATCATAACCAATTTTAAAAATACAAACTAAATACAAACTTACATTTTAATTCATAACCAATAATAATAAATCATAGCCCTTGAATAGTTTTTCGCTCCTCCATTTTAATATCTGTAAGGCCTTCTCCCCATGAAACTCATCACATCTATTCTCTAGATCTAAAATGGCTTCATAAGCCCATTATTTCGGTGATCTTGCATATCCAATTAAAGTGTACTAGGTCAGGACTTTCTCTTTAGAGCATGAGCTTTATAGTGTACCATGTCTCTATTCAACCCTTTGATGAAGTGAAGTTTTCTGTTGTGTTTTCTTCGTGTTTTGTGAGGTGTTTTTCCTACTCTTTCTTCTTATTAGGAAATAGTGGCATGAGAGAATTATGCCATTGTTTTCCTTTT